TTGGGTAGCTGGTAAAAAATTAATATTATTATTTTTATATATGTCTTAAAGGAATCTAACTTAATCAAACTTACATATTCGATGTTTTTGCATCCAACAAAAAAATAGCAATTCTGTGATATTCTTAAAATATGGGGTGAATTCACCAAAAGAATGTGATATTTGTTCTTTATTGAAAGGTTGATCAACAATTATATCTTCAGCCAAATTCGCTTCACTTATCTCTTCTCCGTCACTACTATCTTTTTCATCGCTTTCATTAAACTCTATTATCATTCTTCTATAATCATTTACTCTCTCATAATCACTTTCTTCATTTATATTGAACTCTACTTCATCCTCACTTGACTCATCATCGTTATTTATATCAAATTCTATACTGCCTTCATTTTCTTTGTTTTTTGTATTGAAAGCTGTTATTTTCTCGTCTTTATTATAAATATCTATATTAGTTCAATCATCATTTCTAATGGCAGTTATATCATTATCGTTTTCTAAATTTTTTTCGTTTGATATTAAAGACGACTGCAAGGATATATTAAATGGGTTATAGCATTGTCTAATATAATTAGGTTGATTATTTAAAGAAGTGTAACAACTTTGAAACATTTTATTAAAGTGAAGGTAAAAAGCAAAATAACATGTCAAGTTATTTTCAAAAAATATTTCAATCAAAAGTTAAAATTGAAGTTATTTTATATATTCAATACTTTTATTAAGATACTCTTTATTAAACTACTATTTATTGAAATTACAATTTTTTAAAAATACTATTGTTAATTAAAAATACTCTTTACAAAATTACTCTGTCTTTATTAAAAAATACTCTTAAAAAAGTATTATATAACTACTGCATAATCTATTACTTCAAATCACAATCGATACTATAAAAGTCTAATTTATAAATTGCATCACTAAAAATTAACATTAACATTTAATTGATTAAGGAAAATAATAACAATTCGAAAAAAAGTTTAATTGTATTTATTGTATTTAAAGTGAAATAACTTTGCTATTGATTTCTTTCTTAATTTACAATACGCTTCTTACAAAAGTAAAGAAGTACAAAATTATAAGTTATCCAATGCTTCCAAAGATCTGAAACTAAAAGAGAAAACAGGATACTGTTCCTGTTCTAAATACACCTGCTAAAAAAATAAAAACCCCTGCTAAACGAGATCGAAAGAAAAAGGAACCTGTCAACATAACTTTAAATAATAGTGGTGATTATGAAATACTAGAACCAGCAAAGGTTTTTGCTAAGCAAGGCCAAAAGAAAAAGCAAAATCTTTCTTAAATAATTTAAATAATGATAGTGGTGATAATGAAATACAAGAGCCAGCAACGGCTCTTCAAAAGAAAGGCAACAGAACTTTAAATGTCATAGATGGCAAGAAAGAAGATAATGAAGTTAAAGATAGTGATAACAAAGATGTTGAAGACAAAGATGATGATAACAAAGATGGTGATGACGAAATACAAGAGCAAGCAATAGATCTTGTAATTCCTTCTAAACTGTTAAAAATAAGTGATGATGAATTTTCAGAAGGTAACTTTTCGCTTTTAAACCATGCATATTATCTATCATTTAATTTATTCTCACCTTTCTCATTTCTTTAGATGATGTTATAAGTGACAAACGCAAACCTCTTGCACCAATTACGAACAACATAAATATTAATAAGCTTTATAATAATACATTAAATAAATTAAACGAAGCATCTGAATCTTATTCTCGTTTACATTTGAATACTATACCTCGTCTTAATTATTCTAATAATATACCTCTCTCTACACTTCATTCTAATAATACACGTATGAGGTCCAATGATGATGATGTTGTTGTTTTTCGTTTGAATACACCTTTTTTTACTAATGATAATGATACTCATTCGACTTTTCGAACTTAATATAATATAGAACCTACACTTCTAGCATCATTTCACAATATGGTAAACGTTCACCAAATCTGTTCATAGTTATGTGTAAACCTGAACATATTACTACTTGCTTATAATATGCATCTATCAATGCAAACACCAGTTGCGAACGTATTCAACTCCATTTTGCCAAACTTTAATTCATTAGCATTAGTAACTAATATATCACAAATGCAAAACAAGAAGATAAAGTAAATATAACAATGATTTATTTTATCATTAGCTTTGTTACTAACTGCTAAATAACCTATATAATTAAAAAGAAAGCTAACCAAGATTTTCTGAAAGAACTAAAGTGTCTGTTCCTTTGGGTTCAAAATTCTAAGAAAAGCGCTTTTAAAGATTTAGTATGGCAAATCTTTAATTGTGATCTTAATTCGTTTGAAAAAATTGATTTATTACGTATAACCAATAGAAGTTTTAATGATTTCTGCAATAAATTTCTTAATAATCTTGAGAAAATAGTTAATGTATTTAAAGAAAAAAGGACTCAGTAATCATTTCATTGTAATTTCTTTATTTTCAGTATATTGATTATTTTTACTAAATTATTTCTATTTATTTATAGAGAAAATAGAAATACAATTCACCTTTTGAAAGAAAGTGAGATAATTTTGCTTATCGATGAAATTTTAACAATAAATATCTTACAAAGATGGTTAAATGCGACGAATATGACTGAATTAAAGGCTCAAAATTCCTTGCATACTTTACAAAGATTCATTCGGAAAACATTTTTTATAAATTATAATTCAAGAGATACTGATGCAACGAAATCTTTGGATAATTTAACAAGAAATATGACAGTTCCATCTCGAAATAGCAGAAATATCGCCAATAACTTACAATTATGAAATATAAAGTATTCTATTTATTACTTATATCGATATATTCTTTATAACTTTAATTTATCAATAAAGTTTATTTTTGTTATATATTACATTAATATTTAACGAACGCTTCTCCTTCTCTTCTTTAATATAACAGTATTATTTTATTACGAATAAATATACTAAAAAATTCTACAACAGGCGGTTTGATTTTAATTATATGACGATTTTTTCCTATAACTATATTCACTGCTAATGCATTCTTTATTAGTAAAAATATAATACAAATTTATTTTTATTGTAATATAGTGTTTATTTTTATTATATAATGTAGCGTTTATTTTTACAATAATGGAATTTTATTACAATGGAAATTTTATTAGGTTTTTTTATTACAATTATAATTTTTATTATGTGATTTTTATTTAATAAAATATAATAAAAATAAAAAAAAAATAACTTAAAAATCAATGACTTGAGAACGTGTTAGATTCATCGTCAAATAATATCTAATATAACAAAAAATATCTTAAGTTGATTTTTTCGGTTAACTTGTAATGATATTTACCACCTATTTAAGACCATTTTTTTAATATACTACGACATGTCTTTGATCATTTTACGGGATCATCTGATAATACATCATCATGTGTTTAATACTAAATTGTTATGATTTAGTGGTGATCATTTAACCATATGGTAACAAATCACAGGTTTCTGCAAAGTATATATATTTTCTTAAAAGTGTGTGATATTACTTTTAAATATATTTAAAAAATATATCATATATATCATTAGTATTCTTTTTAAGTTTTTATCTAATAATTTTATATCTATAATTTACTTTTATTAAATTATAAAGTTACCATTTTTCAAAAAAATTTGTTACTTTTAGAAAATTAAATAGAGTTTTTAATATTATAAAAAATAAATAAAAAAAATTAATTTAGAAATATTGCATCATTTAAAACTTTGAACAGTTCAGATTAATCTAAAAATTTTCAGTTTAGTTTGACTTTAGTTCAGTTTCAGATTGTATAAAAATCTGAAAAATTTTGAATCAGTTAGATTATTTTGAATTATAATTCTAATCTAAACTAAAAAAATTTGAACTGATTCAAAAATTTCAATTGGTTTATTTTAATTGAATGATAAATATCGTTTAATAGAATAAGCAAAATTATTGTTTTAAATAAACAATAAAAAATTATTCAATTATAATAATAATAATATTAATTTAAATAAATGATAAAAGTATCATTTAATTAGAATAATAATAACATTATTTTAAGTGAATGATAAAAGAACCATTCAATTTGAATGATAAAATATCATTCTAAATGAATGATAAAAATATTGTTATTTTAAATGAATGATAAAAAAATGTTTAATTAGAATGATAAAAACTATTTCAAATAAATTAAACTTTTGAATTAATCTAAAATTTTTAATTCAGTTCAGATTTTTACTAGTCTACGGTTTAATTTGAATTCAGATTATCATTTTAAGATTAATAATCTGAATTGAACTGAACTGAAACTTTAGTTTGAATTCAGATTGGCTTATAATCTGAATTGAATCAAACCATTTGAAGCATTAACATTACTTAATTTTGAATTTATCCAATTACATTAATGTAGTAATTAAAGCTAAAGGTGGTATACTAAATATTAATTCAAAAATGTTAAAATTTTAAATAATTAAATGTAAATTTTTTTGTTCAGTTTATTAATAAAAAAATTTTTTTTATACATAATTCTATAAATAGTAAAATATCCGATTTATGTGACGCATCAGTTACAATATGTAAAGTCACGTGATTATATATCACGATTTATTGGTTGATCGATTACATCGAGTGTTGAAATTTGTATATTCGGGCAGGACTTTAATGAATTTGGACATCGTCCAATAAATTGTCCCATATATATAGGAATAAAATATTAAATCAAAATAATTAACATTATTAAAATTTTGAGTCAGACGGGTTTAAAAAAAATTCATTCTTTACAATAAATTTCGTTACATTGAATAGATGAATATTCCACTTATCAATTAACTGCAATCTTAAACATCACATCACCAATCGTTGCAGCAATGATAAAAAATAAAAGTAAAAGCAATAATTGATATTTTTTTTCAATATTTCTTTAAGTTAATAATTATAACCTTTTTTTTTTTTTTTTAATATATAAATACAAGTTATTATAATATTTTTTTTATTTTATTTTTAATCATCATCAATAGTAAAATTATCATCATTACTACTAGGTCCTTTTTCAACATCTGATAAAATATTTGAACCTTCGTGTAAGGGTTTTTTAGGGGAATCCTTATCGACTATACAAAAAAAAAATAATTAATCTTACGTTAAAGAAAGAAAGAGTCAATGATTTGGACCACAGATATTATTATTAACTTACGATATTCACTTAATCCTTTATCAAAGTTTCTTGTCACGAGTATCGCATATACGAACGTTAACTATATATGGAAAGCAGAAAAAAATACCGGTTATTTTTTACATATTTTTATGGATAAAGAAAGGGTCCAATCAACACTTACCAATGCGCAAATCAAGAGTATAGATGCTAAAATTTAAAATTAAATTAATTTTTTTAAATTAAATTGAAAAACTCTTTTTTTTTTAAAAAAAGGAATTATAAATTTACCTAATATTACTAAAGAAAATAATTTAATTGGAATTAAATCATCTCCAAGGTAATAAACCAAATAGCTAAAGTCCAATATAGCAAGAAACCAAAAGATAATAAAAATGTTCATTCCAGTTCTCCATTCTTTTTCCAACTAAGAATGATATTGATATAAATTAATTTTAAAAAAAAAATAACGATGAAAATGATTATGTTAGTTCACTTACTGATTTGTATACTAATACTTGAAATACGAGTGATAAAAGTAAAATCACTACATATCCATATAAGAAGGCTTTTACACCAGCTTTCATCCCTTCATCAACTACGGTTTCATATAACATAAATGGTGATACCAAGGCATTAAAAATGATTACGAAGAATAAATCAATTTTCAACAACATTACGAAAATAAGATATGTTTTGAATCGTTCTAAGTTAATATAATGGTCATGTTAGTATTGAATAATTTGTCTTAAGAAAACACGCGAAATTGGAATGATCAAACTTTACTTTGCATATCAATGTCCCCTCCGATTTTCTTGTAAATATTCCAACCAAATTGTTGATATAATTTATAAGATAATAAACCCAACAAAATTGCCAAGATCGTTAAAGTAGCAACATGGGGGAATTCGTATATTAAAAATCTATGCTCAATTTTAAGTCCAATACACATTGATTCTATTATATTTCCGGTCAGTTTTACTTCAACCATTTGAATCTAAAAATAGTTGTTTAATGTCCCGTGACTTAAAAGTAGAAAGTTTATAAATTTGAAATATATTTACAATTCCGAGGATCACATATCCGATATTAATTATAAAACCTGCGAAAATTTGCATGGTATTTTGATGAAAAATCTGTAAAAAAAAATAAAAAAGAAAAAGTTATTGAAAGCCACTCGAGCAAAAAAAAAAAAAAACCAAAGAGAAAGAAAAAAAACTCACCGCGTTCAAACCAAAATACAATTGATATATATTAAAAAAAATAAAAAAAATATTTTCCATTATTAATACAGCGAATTTAACGGTTATATCATCCAAGTTACATTGCTCATCATCATTGATATCAGGTACGAATGGAACTATTGTATAAAGATATAATATACTATTGCGAAACATCATTCGGATTTGCAGGACAACCAATAAAATAGCTTGTATTATCGTGATTAAAACAAACATTCTCGTATATCTTGATTCATTGATACGTTGCCACTTTTTTTGAAAGTCGTGCTCGAAATTCATACAACCCATCTTTAATTATTAACAATAATCGAATTACTTTTACTGAATTGACAAATCGAGCTCAAAACAAAAAAAGATATTTATATTCGTTTAAGAATTTTATCTCTATAAATATCGAAAAAAAAAAAATCTCCATTGTCAAATGACATTGAAATATCTCTGTTTTGTTTACGTACTTCTAAATGTAAGTCGGCTTAACAGCATATTTGTATTACCTGCATGACATTCGAATTCGCTAAGTTTAGCTATATATTACCATTAATGATTTTTCGTTTTACAAGTCAACTCCGATTATTTCAAGCAAAGAATTTGAAAACTTCTTCTTTTTTTATTAAAAGTTAAAAAATTATAGCATTATGGTTGACAAGGTGACAAATTATAGCACAATTAGAAAAGTAAAAAATTTTTATCTTTACGAAAAAATTATGCAAAGCAAGAGTTTTCTTAACAAAGAAAAAGCATAAGGATTTCCGATTTATCCACTTTTTGCAGTTCGTTCGGTTGGTCCGGTTTGATCAGTTTTTGCAAATAAAATTCCTTTCATAAAATTCATGTCGACTTTAAGTACATCCACAGTTCCTTCAAGCTTATTCACGGTTCCTTCAAGCTTATCTAATTTCTAAAATTGAATAAGACGTTTTAGTATTATTAGTAACACACTTATAGGGGATGTTCCATTGAGATCTTTCACCTCAGAAATCTGTTCTATCTTGAATTTAACTGGTTCGATCATGTTTTTAACTTCTGATTTAACTAGTTCGATCATGATTTGAACTTCTGATTTTATCATGTGCCTGGTGCCAAGAATCGCACCAGCGGTTGCGGTGGAAACAGTAATGAAGGTCGGAATTGCTGGTAGAATCAAATTTTGAGGTACTTTTCCTAATTTTTGTGGTAACATTATTTTTTATTATTTATTAATAAAGTGAGCATTTCTGTTGAAAAGAAAATTTTACGTCATATATTACCATTATAAATTCCGTTATTTGTAGAAATTTTTCTCGCGAATATTTGTGCAAATCTTTGTTGTGCGAACATATCAAATTGTTTTTTTTCTTTAAAGTTGGAGTAAATGTTTTGAAAGTTTAAGAAAGAGTTGAATGATTTAATGAAATGATTTTTTTTTTTTTTTTTATACTTATATACCTCATGATGAAACAATGAAGCTACTGATAGACTCTGAAAATTTCGTCATTTCTTGATCCTTTTTTTTTTTTTTGATGTTGATCAGAATTCAACAATTACATTTTACGTCGACGATCGAAAACCTGCATTATTAAATAACTTTTTTTTATCCTTAAATTTCTCCTGGTCAATTTTCACTAATTACTTTTACTTTGCGCTTTGTCAAATTGTTTCCAGAATTACATCTTGACAGTCTAAATAAATCTATATTAAAGTTTACAGGTACACCCAGTAGGAACATTGTTAAAAGCAAGTTGGTAATTGATCACAAGGAACTGTAACTCCAGTAATTATAGTTTGTATATACGACGATCGCTAAACATAACTGGATCTTAGTACGTAAAGAAAATTATTTCGCAACCATTTGATGAAGAATTTTTACACTTTCCGTATTGCCAATTTCCACAATAAAGTTGGGTATGATGATTTGAACGCCCGGTATTGGAGATAGACACTTCTAGTGTCAAAGACTTTCAATTGTTCACTCCTGTTATCCGTGATACTAATTAACTTTGTTTGTATGAGGTTGGTAAGCACTTCAAAGGTTTCTATCCATTGATTAAATGGTTTTTTAACGGAATTCTTCACTTTTCACGAAACTCAAGAGATATCAAAGTGATAAATCTTTTTCGATAACAATTCCCATACATTCACTTCTTTGTTCGATGACAAGCAAGCGGTGCCTTACAAGGTTAAACCATTTGAGTCCTTTATAATATCATGCAGATCACATGATTTTTGATTTTTGAATATAATTTTCCTTGGTACTATTTAGATTAGACCCGGGATCTGTATTGACAACTTGACAATATTCACATTTTTTGAGCAAAAAAAGTTTGAAATCATACGATCTTTTTCCTATTATTTATATAATGGAAAATTGATAGAGACACTTTACATGATCGAAGGGAAAAGTTGACTTGTATCCCTTATAAATTCTCAGACTTTCTATAGAATTTTTATTTATTTTCCTTATTTATTGTTTAAAAGAAGTTAAATACGAAAATATGAACACGCCTGGATCTATGATTATCGGATGGTAAGAACTATAACCTTTTTTTATTCCTTATTTTTATTTTTATTTTTATTTTTATTTTTTTACTTATTATTTCTAAACCAATTCGTTAGGGTCGCTCTTCTTGCCGGTAAGTTTTTTTTTTTTTATAAAAAAAAAGTGGAAAAATTTTAAGTTTGATTCTGACAAATTTATAAAAAAAAAAGCTGGAGGAGGAGCATATTACTATGCAAAAAAAGACATTGATGCAAGAAGAAGAGCTCAAGAGCTTGCCAAGACTAGACCAACTGAAAAATTGGAATGTAATTATTATCTAAATTTCACTTTTTTTTTGAAGTACAAATAAAATGTTGGAAAAAAAATGATTATTAAACATAGTATAATATTTTCATAAATTTAGGGTGGCAAAAAATTGAACAACAAAATGCTACCATTGATGAGAAGTCATCGACACCTAATACAGGACAGAACTCAACGAATAAAAGTAGTATTGGCACTTAGCAATGATCATTTAGACCCTTTCATCTTTTAGATTGTTTCTTTTATTAAAGGAATTAAAAATTTTAATGAATAATTTCATTTGAGAACAAGGATAATAATAAAATAAAAAATTTTTTTGATCATGATTGATCGTTGAATTATGGCAATGAGAAATTTAAATTTTAACTGGAAGAAAAATTTATTTTCAACCTACTTTTAAAACATATATCATTACATCACCAAATATCTTGAAACAAATTTAAACCGTGAATTGATCACAGAAATTAACATTGTACAAAAAAAGTAATTGAATTTAATTAATTATATCATACATACATAAAGAAATATAATAAAAACTTATTATTAAGATAAAACGAAAATTTTCTATGCCTTAAATGTTGTTTGTTTGTTTTCGATCTCTCTTACAAATCGTGGAAATCTTTACCATACTTTGTAGCTTTAACATATCCCATCCTAATAACAAAATCACCAAATCTCTCTCCATCGTTTCTTTCTTTAGCATATCTGCTCAACATGGGTTTCAATTCCCCTAAAATATCTTCTTCTTTCAAACTTTCTTTGTATAATTTATTTAACCTCTGCCCATAGAATCCTCCACCTAAATAAAGGTTGTAAGTTCCCAATGCTTTACCTACGCAAGCAATTTCTGCTACATAGGGCCTTGCACATCCATTGGGACATCCTGTCATCCTAATCGTAATCGCGTCTCCTCTTAATCCACATTCTTCAATAATGATTTCTAATTTACTAACAAGCGTTGGTAAGTATCTTTCGGATTCTGCCATGGCTAATCCACATGTTGGTAAGGCTACACATGACATGGAATTCAATCTTAAACCGGTAAATTGCAAATTATCCAATTTATACTTCTTTAATAATTCTTCAATTTGTGGCTTATCTTGTTCTGATACGTTTCCTAATATAAGATGTTGATTTGGTGTCAAACGAAAGTCTCCTTTATGTACTTTTGCGATCTCTCTTAATCCTGATTTAATAGCTTCCCCTGGGGAATCTATGACACGTCCATTTTCTATGTACATACAAAAATGCCATTTGTCGTCAACGCCTTTCGTCCATCCATATCTATCCGCGTTATTTTCAAATTTATATTCTTTTGGTGGATCCATTTTATATCCTAATCGGGATTCAACTTCGTCTCGGAACCAGTCCAAGTCACGGTCATCAATCGTATACTTGAGTCTCGCATGCTTTCGATTCATACGATCACCAAAATCTCTTTGAACCAACATTACTTTCTCTCCAATTTCAATTGCCTGTTCCGGTCTACTAAATCCGAGTAGTTGACCTAAATTAGGATACGTTTTCTTGTTGTTATGCGTCATTCCCATTCCGCCTCCAACTGTTACATTATACCCCAACAGTTTCCCATTATCATCGGAAATGGCAATATAACCCAGATCATGAGCAAATACATCAACATCATTATTAGGAGGAATCGCGATCGCGATCTTGAATTTACGTGGTAAATAAGTAGGTCCGTATAATGGTTCAAAATCTTGTACCGCTTGTCCTGCTACCATCTTATCGTCTAGCCAAATTTCATGATATGCGGATGTTCTTGGTGATAGATGTGCACTTATTTTCTTCGCAAAGTCTTGTACTTCCGCATGTACTTCAGAAATGAGTGGATTCGGATTACACATGACATTCCTGTTGACGTCTCCACATGCTGCCAATGTATCCAATAAACTTCTATTAATGCCGCGTATGGTTTCTCTCAAATTTCGTTTAAGAACTCCATGTAACTGAAAAGCTTGTCTAGTTGTTAGTTTCAATGATCCACTTCCATATTTTTCCGCGATTTCATCCATTGCTAACCATTGTCGAACTGTGGAAACTCCTCCGGGAACTCTGACGCGTACCATAAACGAGAATGCCTTTTCCAAACCTTGAGCCTTCCTTTCTTCTCTCAAATCACGATCATCTTGTTGGTAAATTCCGTGAAATTTGGTTAGTTTGGTATCTTGTTCACATAATGCTCCTGTTGAAGTATCTTCTAAACCCTCCGAGATGGTTCCTCTTAAAAAGTTTGATTCTGTTTTCATATCATCATCAGTTCTTTTTGGTTCCTCCACAATTGTACCAAGCAATTCAACTCCAAGAGCTTTCCAAAGTTCGGGTTCCCAAACTTGATATGCCGTTTCATATCCATCAGCATCTTGATCGTCTCCTAATCCAAGTGGGATTAAACTTTGCCCTCCTAATAATTCCAACCTTGCATCTAAATCTTTACCAGGTTTATTATAATAAATCGCGTCCTCCTCCCTTGGCCAATAATGACTATCTCCTAATCCAAAAACTGCATATCTTGACTCTGTGAAGGAAATATCTGTAGTGGTTGAAACATGCTTCCAGAATTCACGAGCATTCTGCGGAAATTCTCCTTGACCAGCTGTACTACAAATAAACACCAAATTCTTTTCTAGAGTAATATCTTCAATTGGGAAATCATCCATCGCTAGACATCGTGCATTTACCCCTCTAGCTATTGCTCCTTTTTGTAACCTTCTTGCCAAGCCTTCAGCATTACCATTATCTGATCCAAATAAGATCAATAATGGTGGGCCTGTCAAACCGCCTAACAATTTCTCGTAAGCTGATTGTGCAAGAGATTTTTGTCTTGATTTAACTTCTGATTCAAGGGAGTTTGTTAATAAAGGAGAATAATTTGGACGGGAACGAATTAATTGTGTCAAATGATTTTCTCGATCCAAGAAACTTTGTAATTCTTGTTTAATTCGTTCAGAATCCAAGATGAAAGGTTCCTTTCCTTCCTTTTCTAATTCAGGGTTCCATCTATATAATGGCCAATAACCATTGTCAACAGCTAATTTGGTTTCTTTTAATACGGTAATCGTTGTATCCTTTTCGGAATGATAAGGAAGGTAAGCCAACACGATCGACGGACCTTTGAACCTTTCCGCTTCTATTAAAGCATGTAGAACTTGAGTATAAGATGAATACATAGCCACAGAAGCTACGAACACGTTTCCATAATTCATCGCGTAGAGACCAATATCCTTTTTGCGCTTTTCTGGATCAGCCGCAGTACGCGTTGAATAAGGCTGTGAATCAATAATTAACATGTTGATATCTTTTCCAGAAGAAATTACGTGATGTACTCCAGAATTTCCAATATCATAAGCCCATGAATCCGAACCAATCAACCAATGAGATGGTTTAACAAATAAATGTTGGAGTTGAAAGATTTCAGCGAGGGCAGGTTGTTTTGGAGGTTCCGACCCGAGCATTTCTACAATTTGATCACCATATTTCTTTGAAAGTTCAGCATCATCTTTATGTAAGAGCCATTTTGACAGTGGTTCGTGAAGTAGTTCAGGAATCGAGGTGTCCTTAACGATACGTGACACTAGATCCACCAATTGAGTGCGTTTATGAAGTTTTGCCAATAAAACACCAAATCCGAATTCCGGTGTGAATTTTACAGCTTCTAAATGTCCAGCGTTAGTTTTTGATGCAGAATTAGCAATGTATAACCTCTCGGAGAAGATTTCATTGAGCATCTTTATATAAGGCCTCTCCAACGCAGAATTTTCAAGATCATCTTGACCATTAACCCCTCCAATATTTTCCGATTTTGACTTTAAAGGTCCTTTACCAAGGATGAAGTTACGACGAGGAACATTTGAATTCAGAAGAGCGAAAACTTCTGCGTCAATTGGTCCTTTTTCCAAAGCACCATACTGTCCACAAGTGATAAGAGGTAATTTAACAGACCAATAATTACGGTTTTGAAAAGCTGATACAACATCTAAATATAATGGGGTCCAATTAGTTGCACGAGGGACGACTTGCTCCAACACGGCTACTTTCTTTACAGATTTTGGAATCTCGGCAAATAAATGTTGATCGGACCAGGGACGATATAGTCTTATTTTGAGTAAACCAATTTTCGAAGTTTCAGGTTTTTCAAAAACTTTCTGTAATTGCACAGCTCCGGATCCCATCGTGACAATAATTGAATCCGATCTTTTGTCACCAAAGAATTCCATAATCTTGTAAGATCTATTTGTCAACTGTTTGAAAGTTTCAAAGATGTCTTGCGTTATCGTGAAAAAATTTGCTGCCGTGACAAGGGTATTTTGTTGTTTACCATTTGTTGTCGTTGGAACAGAGGTTTCTACACTTGCAGTCGAAACATCCTGTTGGTCATCGGAAGAATCATCTAAAGATGAGACACCATTATAAGATCTAAAGTAAAGGTCATTAGGAAGGGTATCACGATATTTTTTGACATCTGATTCTACAATGAAATTCTTAATATCATTATTTCCGAGCACTTTAACCTTTCCACCTTTCTTTGATTCATTATCAAAGAAATGTATGACGGAAATTCCAGTTTTTAAAGCGATTGAATGAGCTACCAGAGCCATATCCGAAGATTCTTGAAGACCATTGGAATGCAATAAAGCAAAACCAGTTTGTCTTAAAGCCATAACATCAGTATAATCACCCAATTGATTTAAATCACTTTTATCCAAGACAACGTGAATGACAATAGCTCCCCCATGATTATTTTTATTACTATTTGAAATTTTATAAAGATGTGGTATGGAATTAATTAAAACATTCTTTGAACAATTAGAGGGTATGATTACACTTATCAAGGAACCTTTTGATAGTTGAACATGTAATTTGGAAAATGGATCAGAGATTGAATGTAAAGTTTCTAATTCTGGTATTTTATTAAAAATATTTGTCTTTGATTGAGTTTGATATTGAGTTAATTCTAATGTACTTTGAGATTTTGAAGATGATTTTGAAGAATTGGGTTCTATAACGTAAATTAAATCGCTTGCAGAATAAGCGATTCTTGATGTCACCACCTCCGATGTTGTTGCCATGATGATTTTTAGAGGCTAAATACTTCAAGGCGTCAAACAGGAAAGGGAAACAATTTTTTTTTAAAAAAAAAACAAAAACAAAATAAAAAATTAACGTTACAATAAAATATTTAGAAAATCCAAAAAAAAAAAATAAAAAAATTTTTTTTATTTTTTAAAAAAAAAAGAAAAAAAAAAAAAGATCCGTTTTTTTGTTTTATATAAAAAAAAATTCGTCACACAACAATTTTTGATTTTTGATTATTAATCCTAACATCCTCTTAAAAGCACGAGATTTACGGTAGATCGAACTACGTTATCATGTGAAGCATTACTTTTTTAAAAATAATTGAGCGAAAAAAAAATCGATTAGTAATATTTTGATCTAGTAATATTTAGGTCAATACTGTAATTAGATGTGACTTAAAATGACACCATCAAAGTTTTATTCACATGATTCCTCTTTTCTATTGTTTCATTTATTTAATTTGTAAATCTAATCAGCAAGGTAATCTCGGATAAATTCAAGAAATGATTAATAACCATCGTTTTCTCCGAGCTCATTGAAGGAACTCGCAATTCAAAGCTTGGATTTTAAACATTAAAAATTTTATTAAATTTATTAAATTTATTAAATTTTATTAAAAAACAACAAGGATAACCTTTTGAAAAGTAAGAGTTAGTTTTCTAAATTTTTTATTTGATTTCCCGAAAATAGAGTTTACGACAGAACGTGCTGTTGCTGCTATTAATGCAGTTTTACAAGCCAATAAGGGTACGAGTCGAGTTTAATATATATATATAAAAAAATTAATAGAAAAGGAAATTAATAGGTGAACTCATTTATATTCATAGTTGCTGATTTTTAGTGCACAAGTTTGTCGTGAATACAATTTCATATTCTTTTCCGAATGATTCATTTATCGGAGAAAAAGATACTAAGGATTTACGCGGTGAATCAGGAAAAGAATTTAAGAGCGAAAATTCACTCTTTAACTAATTCCATATTAGATGATCCATTAGATGAAAAAACGGTATTGATAATACCGCATTAATTATTTTACTGCAATAACAAAAAACCACTTTTTAAAATTTGTTCACAAGGAAGTTCGTATATGTTTTGGTGATTCTTTTACTATATATAATCTATATTCTTTTAAAATAAAATAAAATAAAAAAAAAAAAGCTAAAGTACAATTAGGAGTTATGGGATGTCCTAATTTACCAGTAGATTGTTTGATAATAGAGAAAATTTTCTTCAACGGAAGAAAACGAAAATCCAAATGGCCAATATTTCAGAAGCATCATCATCTTGTGATCGGCTGAAGCAGCACATTCATATCATGGTGATGCTGCCAAAATAGCTTCACTACTTGGTATTACTAAATCACCCATTCGTATGGATATTCAATGAATGCAAATATTGTTCAGTGGCTAGGACTCGAGATGGTTACGAAGAGAATATACCTATACCTTTATTATTATGATGAATTACAACAAATGCTTAAATAATTTTTTTATATTTAAATCTTACGAAAGTGTTTTATTTAAATAAACATTTGATTTGAAAATTTACTCTTTTAAAATTATTGGTCTTTAATTTCTTAATTACTTAAGAAAAAGATGTATTTAAAATTCACCCGTTTTTTAAATTGAAGCACGTAAATCAGTTGATGCGATACCCCCCCCCCCCCCCCCCCCCCCCCCCCCCCCCCCCCCACCCCACCTCCCCCCCCCCCCTTCCCCCAGCTATCACCAAACAAACAAA